CTCCTGAGGACAGTCTCCAGCAGTGTAGGCAAAGAGGACATTCAGTAACTCCACCTTCTTTGTATCCTCTGTCACCAGGGCACCCACCCCATTCTGCAGTGGGCCTACATTGCCTCCAGTGTTAGCTTGGTCTGCAATGTATTTGAAGAAGCCCTTTTTGTTATCCTTGACCTCTCCTGCAAGGCTTAACTCAAGGAAGCCTTAGCTTTTCTAGTTGCCTCCCTACGTCCTCTGACAACAGTCTTGTATTCCTCCCAAGTGACCAGCCTCTCCTTCCAGCATCTGTAGAGCTTCTTCTTCTGCTTGAGTTTGCCCAGCAGTTCCCTGTTTAACCACGTGGGTGTCCTGCCTCCCTTTCTTGATTTCCTACACATTGAGATGCTCTGATCTTGAGCTTGGAAGAAGTGGTCCTTGAATATTAACCAACTATCCTGGGTCCCTTTACCATCTAGCACTCTGCCCCATGAGATTTCCCCTAGCAATTGTTCGAAAAGGCCAAAGTTGGCCCCGCTGAAGTCCAGGAATATTTCTTAGTCTAAAATATTTCTTATTTTAGAGTAAAGTACTGATACTTTTGAATTTGAGAACTTAGATGAGGTATATTAAGCTTGTTAGAAAGTAAAGAAACTTATTACAAAGGTCTCTGACTTTTCTTCTTATTTTATAAAACCAGACTACAGGAACTTATTGTATTTACTTATTTTTTTAATACAAGTTCTCTGCTAGGTGAACTTGCTTATATGTGCGTAGAGGAAATACATCACACTATATACACCTAATTCCTAACCAAGAGATCAAAATTTTGTCTTGACTGTCTGTTCAAACAAGCAAACAAAATTTACTTATGAGACAAAATGACCTTCACAGCTTAGGGGCATCATAAAGTTTAAGGACTGAACCAAAACTGAACTTCAGTGACAGCTTCACAACAGTTTGCCCCAGAACTTTGAAAAATCACATAGATGAGCAAGTTATTATATGTGTAGCTTTGCCAGCACCCACTGATCCTACAAAAAGCAAAGCTGGAAATGCATCAAAAATAACAAAACAGTTGATGAAATGTGATGGTGCTTAGACCACATATTCTACTCTTGTTCAGGAGGTGACTGAAGGAGGCTCCCTGTCCCCCTGCACAACGAATTCTAGTAATATGGCAAATCTAGCAGCCTTTTTTTTTTTTTTTAAACAGATAAAATTATTTTGTATTTTATTGCAAAATTTGTAAAATTAAAGCTGTTTATTTTGTCAGGAAAAAAAAAAATAAAACCCTAAATTGCTTTTGGAATGTCTTAAGATTTTACATTTATTATTCTACATTGCTTTTCTGTGCACATATGAGAAGCCACTCGCTATTTCTCTGCACCTGTTTTCTGTATGCTCTTCTACTGAAAAGAAGGCAGAAATTCCCAAGGGGAATCAGGCACAGACACAAGACTGAGCTGGGGGGAAAAGTTTTAGGGTTTTAATTTACATGGGAAACAGGATGCTGCTTTTACAGAACTACTGCTAACCACCAAGATGCTCTCATTTACAATCATACTGTTACTCTACTGCCAGTAGCTCTGAAAGCAGTTTTAAAGCCACGTTAACTCTAGAAAGGCAAAAGGCTACAGTAGAAGGAACCAGCAGACCTCGTTTCAGAAATAACATGCTAGAGATTTCAGATGCACAGAGATTTCCTTCCAACTGTGCTGCTGCTGTTAGGAGCCCTATACTTACAAGTAAATGAAATCCAAGCATCATTCTCTGAGCAACATTGATAACAAATGATAATGCAAGGATCTAAAGTGGCTTTAATATTAATTTAAACATTAATATTCATTATCAATAGTAATTTTATTATTTATTTAAATATTTCTAAGTAATAATTTGAGTTAATTTGAAAGTAGCACAGTGTTATTTTAATATCATGAGAATGGCTAAAAATATTATCTAAGCCCTATGTTTTATAAAATAACCATCAGTGTACATTTAAGGAAGTAAATAGATGCTGCTATCCTAGCCAACAGGAGAAAAAAAATGAAGCAGTGGCTTTTTATGCTATTTTCTTCAACATTTGTAGCTGATAAGATTCCTGTCTTGCTCGCTTTCCATTATTCTGTGGTGGCAGACTAACATTTAAATGTTGATTTGTAAGTTAATTAATAAAGTTAAGGAACACTGTCATCTGGAAGTGAATCAATTAAAAGCCACAATTTCAAATTAAACTTGGGCATTCCTCTTAATCATACGCCTTTCTATTAATCTTGTGGTTTTAGAAGACGACTCTCCTTCACACTTAGAAAAGCCTCTCATCCCTCTTATCGAAAGAGCTTCTGGAAGGGAGTGATCTACATCAGACCACCACGCACGTGCTCCCACCACGCACGTGCTCTCCATGCCAGCAGCATCACCTATAACCACAGCAGGGAACATCTCATTTATTTTGAGGGTATCCCTTAAAACTCCTCAGAGGGCATGGACTCTGAGTGGACACTCCCAGGGTGTGGGGAGAATCAGACGCAACCTCCGCAGGTCTTTCGAAATGGGACGACCGCAGATGGCGCTCTGTCATCACTCACGACCAGACCAGGACGAGGAGCTGCCCGGTTCCTCCCCAGCACCACCGCTTTGGGGGTTCACAAGCTTTGCCTACACGCGCGTGGAAGGTGGACTCACTGCTCTGTGAAATCCTCATTGCTGGTTTCTGGGTGGCCACAGCCGCGCCGGGGCTGCTGTCACTGGTGAGCTGCATGAGGTCATTGATGATGGCTTGCTTGTCGACTGAGCCCGCTGGCGCGCCTGGGCGGCTATCTGGGAAAAGCTGCGGTAACTGGCTGTTCTGCAGGTCATCTAGAATCTCCTCCAAGTTATCCAATTCACTGCCTGGCTGTAATAAAAAAAACATAAACCCACAGTACACATCACTGCTCGCGGGCTCTTGGTGTCCTGCTCGTGCCGAGCCAGGCAGCCCACAACCGTTGCACCCGCAACTGGCTTCGGATGCTTCCTGCAGCAAGCCTGATGTGGAGGAAGCTCACAAAGTTGTCAAAAGGGGACTGTGCAGGCTTCCCAGGGCTTGCATGCCTTGCATTTGAGGAACCTGGTGTGGCACTGGCACCCCTTCAAAACCCCGGCCTCGGGATGTACAAATCCACACAATCTGTACCTCAGGCAATGGGGAGATTCTCCCTGTGCACTATGTGATCGGTGCAGACAGCAGGGATAATTTAGCAGGGGAATAGATCCAACAGCGATAAAGATGGGGGTTGAGGTAGGTATAACCAGTATTCCTTTCAGCACAGTCATATTTCTAGACTCTTTATGACTTGATTAAAAGCATACGATGGAAAAGTTGCTTCATGGCTAAAACAATTCCCCATATGCATTTTCTTCGTTACATTCAAAACCGTAACACTGAATAACTCTATATAAGCTAACTGGCAAGAAATATACATTTCAAAGAAGTTCTGTAAATTAAAACCTGTCAAGTAGTTACTAGATTTAGGAATTTATTTTGCTCACAGCTTCCCAAATCACTGAAAATAACTTCTCTACAGTTCTCCAAAAAAAAAAAAAAAAAAAAAAAAAAAAAAAAAAAAAAGAGAGAGAGAGAGAGAGAAATCTAGTTACATTCAATTCAGTAGAAAATTATCATGAAACAAAGATCGGAAAAAAATTAAGTTCATCCTATACTAACATAAATATTGATCTGCATGTTTTTCTTCAAAAGGTTGATTTTCACTAGTTGTGATTTTTTTGGTTGGTTGTGGATTGGTTTTTTTTGTTTGGTTGAGGTTTTCTGTTAGCTTCTCCATCTATAATCCCACAGAATTAAGACCTTTTTCTGACTGAAATTTGGAAATTATTACAAGTATATTCTCCAATCCTAAACCTTTGCATCATGTAAAACTCCTTTGGGTAATAATTACCAACAGGCAGTCCAGTCTCAGTTACCACCACGTTGCACCGGAAACATTTCATGGCAGTATTTATAACAAAAACCTACTCAAAATTAGCACCTTCGTTAGGAAATGTGCAATGATGGAAGAGAAGTAGAGAGCAAGCAGTCAGCCATGAAGGATGGGGAACTGAGAAATAACACCACAAGCATGCACACAACTAAAATACAATTCTTCCTGTTCTTTTTTTTTTTTTTCCCCCCTACTGCCACATTGTGAACTTGTTACTTAATGAAAGCAAGTTTACACCACAGATCACAAGCTAATGTAGAAATATCTGAGATGGCTTTAAACTACCCACTGACGCTCTCACAGCCTAGGCTAGAAAACATTGCACCTTAGTCTGTACTAAACTCCTGGTGCGACAGCTCACCTGCTTCTGGGAAGCCCATCTATTTTATTCAAAGGTAGCTAAGGTGCCTTGAGCTTACATCTCTACATGCCTTTTTTTGATGATTGACTGAAGATAAACATGGTATTACTCTATACTCTTTCCACATCATCATCTTTGTAGTCCTACAGTTTGAAATACATGGTGCAAAAGAGGAAGGAGTTTACTCCGTTAAAAGGCAGCATGTGGGTGATCTGGAGGCTGGTGTTATTGGCAAAATGGTAGGAAATCACAGAAAGAGAGGACTGGAAGAAATGTAAAGCCTCGAGGCAAAATCAGTGTATGCCATTCCCTACAGAAGTTCATACAGCCTCTTGTTAAAGACATCCAGTAACAGAAAACTTGCAGCTTCCCCAGGGAATTGGTTTCAGCACTCCGCCATCCTTACTATTCAAGTTTTTTTCCTTGGTGTCAATGCAAAATCTCCCTCACTGAAATTTAGGCCCTTAGTCATATTTTGCATCTGGACAAAAAATTGTGTTCCCCTTTCTTTTTCTAGCCTTTTCTGTATTTGAAAACATGTGCCTTTTTAGGTTTTAAGATGAAGTTAATAAGTAGTCTGAACTTCTTGAATTTTCTTCAGCATATAACCTGTTTTCTAGACCTCTCATTACTCCTGTTGCTCCTGTGGACTGCCTTCAGTGGATCCACACTTTTGTTGAAGTGCCGTGTCCAGAACAGGACTTAAGATGAAGCCTTACAACTGCTGAGCAAAGCAGAAGATTTACTCTACACATAGTATACTCTGCTGGCATATTCCAGACATGGCATTACTGACTTTCACTTATTATGTACTCACTGTGATCCCTGTACACAGCTCTAAAAAAGTCCTACCTAAGCAGTTGTCCTTTTCTTTAAAAAAAAAAAAATAAAAAAAAATAAAAAAAAATCTGGTGCTATTCTTGACTAATTATAATAAATAGCATTTGTTCATCTTGAATGTTCTCCTAAGATCTTTCCTCCATATCTCCTGCTTGCAGCTGAATCTGAATTCCATCCTCCAGTGTATTTGCAGACATTCAAGTGTCACACACAGTTTTACAAAGCATATGCTCTATTCAAACACTGAGCAGCTCTAGATGCTGCAGGAACTCCTGCAGCACCTCCATTTTGACAGTGAATTCTTAAATAACTACTTTGTAAGGATTTCCAAACAGCTTCCTACCCACTCACAGTAGTTTCGTCTTGACCATGCATCTCTAATCTGCTTACAAGAATGCCATGTGTAAGGGTGCCAAAGAGCCTTACTCAAACCAAGACACATGGCACACGCTGGTTCTCTTATGCCAAAAAGCCCACTGCCCTCTTGCAGAAGGAAAACAGGTTGGTCTGACATTATCTGTTCTTGACAAATCCCCCTCCTAACTTGCTGCCTTCCAGGCACTTACAAGCAGCTGGGTGGACACAGCACACCAGTAGAAAAGGCAGAGCCAGGAGGAATCAAATGTGATTATAAAGAAGCCTAAATCACTGCACGGACAGGTGATAAGCAGATTCAAAAGGCGCTTCAGGAGACAATCGTGAGCAATGTTTATAGGAGCCATGTTTTGAGCACTGTGAGATTTGGTACAAGAAGGGACTGCAAGAGCCAGCAAAGGAGACTGATGTAGGGTATCATAAATTATAGAAGGATGATTCAGTACTCTTTGGGGGAATTAAGACATATGGCCTTCATTAAACATATCTGAAACAACAGTGAAGGGAAGTTTTATATGTTGCAGGGGTTTTTTTGGTTGGTTTCATGGAGGACTTTGTGTCTTTTTTTTTTTTTTTTCTTTTGACACTGGCTAGTGCAATTCTTTGTTTAAACACTAAATGAAGAAAAAAAAAACAAACCCAACCCCAAACTTGAAACAAAGCCAGAGAAAAACATATTGATCCAAACGTGTCAGAAAACTGCATTCCCTAAGATGCTTTTAATTCCTCTCAGGAAGTGGTGAAAAAAGGCCAAGTACAACAGATGTATTCTAACATCTAGACAAATACATAACCTTCCCTTTTTTTGCTTGCCTTAATCAATATCAAATATTTCATCTTTATTTTTTGATGAGGCTTCTCGACTGCTGCAAGAGCTCCAAGATGGATTTAGAATTAACATCATAGTGTGTCCAGGCTTACCCTCAAATGGCACCATATGTGCAGAAACTAGCACTAAAATATTTACTTGGTTAGCTTAATGGGATTTTTCTTTTATTATATTCTATATTTATTTTGTTAACGGTGTAAATTGAACTTTATGTAAATAGAAGGCACACCCTAGCCTCCCTGTAAAACAGTTATTTATAATTAATTTAAAAGAAAAAAAAAAAGCACCTGATAAAGTGCTCAGCATCACAAGAAAGTCCTCATGCACATATTTCCACTTTCTCTAGGCAATGCAATTACAACAATCTCCATATAATTTGGACACTAAGTGCCAGAAAACGTAAGATAAATTATGCTTAGAAATGTTTTTGCATTTGAAAAAGCACCTATGTTTGAAGTACTTACCACTGTTATGTAGAGAAAAGCAGATTAAAGTGTTAATTGCTTACAGATTTTTTTCAGCTCTACTGGAAGGCAGTTACATCTCAACATGAAGTTTGGTTTAAAAAAATGGCTATGTCAAAGTCCAGCTTCCATGGATTCTAAGGACTGGATAAGATACAAAACTCTCTGGAGATGTTTTTTCCACCATGGGCAATGCCCATGGCTTGCACTGAGACTCTGTATTCCAAATTTCATACATGTATACATTTCCCTTACAACCACATATGACAGAGGCATCTGGGACTTTTTCCTTACAACAGGATGTCTTTTGGTGGGGACACAACTTGAAACTATACCTGCCTGATATAAACCCCAAGTTAGCTTATTAGCTACCTCTGTAGCGTGGGCAAAACATTTGACTATAAAAGGCAAACAAAACCAAACCCCTGCTCCAAACCAGCCATAAATTGAAGGATTATAAAAAGAAGGAAAAAGTAAATCAGAAGTGGAATCAGTATAGTTTTTTTCTCCCTGGTAACTGCAATAAATACACGACTGGCCAGAAATCCTGTTGTATTATCAGGTTAATCTACTACTAACTTCTGGGAACAGAACTCCAATTGAAAGACATTCAGAAAATGGAATCCCTATTCTAAGGTTTTGATAGAATTTCAAGAAGAAACCAATGTCCTTCATGAATTTAATGGATTCTGGATATCAAGAAATAGGTTTTTCGAAGATGAAGGGCATGTGTAAAGAAAATATTTCAGTATTGGGAAGACACTGGTTTCCACATAAAGCAAGAGGACAGCAGAGCTGATAAAGTGTGTGAGGAACACCAGAACAGTTTCTGAGTTTTAGGACAAAAAGGTACATGCTTAAGTTGATTTCTGGAATGGCACTGGTGGAGACTGGCATTGCAAAGTCCCTGTCAGACAAACAAGCTGTCTATATTGTCTACTGGCTAAAAAAAGAGGAGAATACACTTATGGAGATAAGGATTTTATTCCACACTACACCAAGTGATTTCTCAGAGAATAAGCTACTTCAAATTTCTACATCTTGGCTTCTTCAACTGTAACATGACTATAATAATCCACACCCAATTTTACAGAAGAATTTTGCAGTGCTAAACAATACGGCTAAACAAAATGTTTCTTCAGCAAGGCAATACCTGACATTGTCAGGGCACGACGTTTCTCTGACACAACCCTACACTTTCACTCTCTTTCCCCCAAGCTGTCAGCTGGTCCTTGTCAGCTTTGACCATCTGCTGACCACTATACCGGCTGCTCCTGACCAGCAGCAGCAGCCAGAAACACAAGGAGTTTTTTTGAGAGACAGCACAAGCAGCAGGGCACAGGGAAGGAGGGTGTGGGATGAAGTCTCACCATGGCAGCTCCATGGTAGCTGGTGGGCCAGCAGGGAAATGTAGACTTACTGCTGAGGGATGCCCTATAAAACAAATCTGTAGCAAATCAGGACTCCTGTTTCCACCGCCTTCCCTTTTTAACAGTGGAGAACAATACGAGCACTCACAGTGCTTGATAGCAACAGTCTACTACTGTTGGTGCCCTAGGAAAAGCTCCGCTGAGCCTCCCCAACAGGTCTCTCTTTCATCTTCTCCCCCACAGCTGCCTTAACTGGAATGGCAATCAGCCTAATAGAGCTTGATAACCATCATCCCACCAAGGAAGGGAAATGGTACAGCACTGGAAATATTCTCTGCCATTTGAGAAAGGCTTCCTGTCAGTTGCTGCTCTCTGCTGAAGTATATGTTTGAACACACTACCTAGAAGACTGCTATTTTCAGTACAGTGGTGCACTTCAAAGCATTTCCTGCTCAGAAAGTCACACCAAAAGTAAAAGGAGACAACGTAAGGGTTCTGCTGCCTCCCAACACCCTAATCCCCCTTGCAGAGGACATCCCACCACTACTCTGCTGCAGTTTCCAGAGAAACTGCACACTCCAGTGACTAATTACTTAAAAATACAACATTCCTCAGGGAGGAGAAGTTTTAAATAAACCTGCAAAATAGGTAACACAAGCACATGGCTAATTTTTACATACGGGAGGAAGAAGGTGGGGAGGGGGGGAAGGACGCAGGAGGATGGAAGAATTTAGCACAAGAATCTGTGTTCTAGTCTTGTACTAAATAGTTACAGCTTTGATCTAAATTTAGGCAATGAGCACTTCCTGTGGGAGACCGTCATCCAAAGCAGAAGAGTTTTTGATGCTAAATATTTTCAGTGATTTTATAACTGGGGTAAAGCAGTTATTTGTTTAAAGGCCTGGTCTTTGCCTATATAAACGCTTACGTTATTTTATATTCCCCATCATTTCCTCTCCTACTCCACGTTGGACTTCTGTTTATTCAGATCCAGGTTTCACTGCATTTTAAGTAGCTTTTAAAATTCTATTTACAATCAACGGGAGCAACAAAAGCCCTTCTGTCATTATCCAGCAGCCTTCCATCATCACAGCCGTGGGACTAGCTTCTCCTTACCTCAGTGCTGAGGAAGCCTCAGCACTCCAGCCCTTACTACTTATCACAACTCCTGCACTGCTTCATGGTTTTCTGAACAGCCCCAACTCCAGGACCTGTCTGTACCTCCAGTTCCCTCTCTCCTGGGAAACAATTTCTGTCTTCAAATCTTACGAAGAGGCAATACATTCATAGTCCATACTCCAACCCCCTCAAACCCCTGCCCTGACCTCAGAAACATGAAGCCTGAAAATAACAAGTGAATAGACTCTTCACTTTACAAAGTTCATAATATTGGGGATCTCATTTTCAAATGCTTGATGTTGGCAATGCTTGTAGACAGCAAAGTCTCTTTAAAGTTAGTCTTATAGTTACATTTTGACATTTAGGGTGAGACGCAACTTGCCTATCTTCAGCCATGAAAAAGTAAGGCAGCTAGTTTAAAACAACTGTCGAGGCTACCGCTAGTCGATGGGAAAATCACTAGAGAGCAACTTACCTCCCCTATTTTAGACACATATTAGGATAAGATAAAAAAAATCCCATAATCTTCCATTTTTCCATCAATGATGAAAGGAGTTCATAGGACTACCTTGGACTAGACAACTAACTTCTGGAGGGGACAAAACCTGCTTTTTGCAAATGGGTTCACAAACTAAGCCATTTCTTGTCTATTCCACAGAGATAAAGAAATTTTAATTCTTTTAGAAATTTAATTCTTGAGGAGTAAACCATCTGAAGACCATGATTTTGATCTACTCATTTAGACAATAATTTTTTTGGGGACTACCAAATTCTATGTTCTTGTCCAGTATCAAATACTGAGGACTGAAGGATTTCTGTCTTCAATCAAGTATTATCTGAGATAATGACATTTACTTTCATGTCTTAAGATCTGAACTTGGAATTGAAATTAATTAGATATTTCTACAATATTTTTTTTCTTGCCAGTTTAGCTGTGGATTTCTTGATATATGTGTTTTTTTTAGCCTAACAAAGCATAAGTTCTCACAGAGAATCTAAGCCCTCCCTACAGGCACTACAAAATAGTAACTGTATTCAGAACTAAACTAACATCCACTCTTGAGGATTAATCCCTGTAGAAATTAGTGTAATTTGGCTCAGTTTCCCCCTAAAGCATGGAAAGGATTGAAAAACCACAATTGCTCCTACATAATGGCAATAGTTGTCAAATTCTGTTGAAACAGAAGTAGTGAATTAACCTTAGGAGATGCTTGGATAACTGAGATTTTAACAATGCTGCATCCACACTGCAGTGGCACGTTTGGCCTCTACATTTTGTGGTTATAACCACTGCTGAAAGAACTGACTGCTGGTTAAAGAGTGCCGGAAGGGCAAAGTATAAAAAAATAATCCAATGCTGTGACTTGAGGCTAAGAAAATGTTGTCTATCCCTCAGCTTCAAACTATAATACAGAAAATATTAAAAATGATGCATTGATATACACACAATAAAATAAAAATAGAAGAGATTCACAAAAACAAACAAGCTCAAACCCAGTCCACACATTAAAAATATACAGTATTTTAAAAGTAAAGGATATAGCTGTGAATGAGAGAGCCACGAACATTTACAGTATATGATCTGATCATCATGATTTACAAACTAAGCCTTCATGCACAGGGCACTGCCTAGGGATTAATGACCAGCTGGGAGAGTTGATAGTATAGGACAAAGCTAGGGATCATTAACTCCAGCTAGTTATAAACTCCCCAGAAAATGACTTATACTAAAATTGATATTGTAATTACCCATTTTATAAATAAAATAAACAGTAATATTGAAGTGGCAAATTGCTTCTGTTGCATCCCTTTTTCTTGCAAAGCTCTGAAAACTAGAGCATTCTGGGTGATGTGAACCTGGTGCTTTCTGAAAGTGAATTCTGCATGAAGGACAGTGAAATACTCTGTAGCATAAGTCCTAACAACATATAGTTTATAAGTACGTTGGCAGCACAGCAACAATCATGCACAGAAGGCAGAGAAACTCTGAATGCAATTAAACATCCACGGGAACTTGGGGTTGAATATAAAAATTTTTAAACTAAAAAACCAAACCAAAACAAAACCAACAGAAACAACAAAACTCCTAATTGGCACAGAAACAAGGGAAGTCTATTTGCCTTGGTTTTAATTTGCAGATCAAGTATGGCACAAAGACCAATAATGCAAAGTTGGTATCAGTCTTTTCTAACAACTGTTGTCCTTAAGCGTGAACCTGCTTTACAGGGGAGAAATGCAGTTGCTGTGCTGGACTTGGTCAAGAGCCCATCTAGCTCACAGCAGTTCAACAACAGCCTCTGAGAAAAGCTGTCAATAAGTTAGCATTAACCAAGAGGTACAAGTATTTTCTCTTTGTCTGACTACCATCTGGGAAAGGTTCCCCAGTGTTCAGTCCCTGCATTACCGTGTCTCCTCCCAGGCAGAGTCTGTTCTTTTAGACAGAGTGATACACACAACTTAGTAACATCAACTTGAAAATTGAGTGAAGATTGAATTTCAAAAGACAGGTAATGGTCCCTTGAAGTGTCAAGAAATTATTCTTAGAGGAAGTCTGGAAAAAATGAATGCAGGCCTAGAACATCTCATTCACACGTAATGCAAAGATTTGCTTACCTGTTCGTTAGGCTCAAAGCTTATCTCTTCTTTTTCCGTCCTCATAGCTATTAACTTTGTGCTACCGGAAGGGTCTGTCTTACTGTCCAACCGCTCCAGTTTTGGGGGTATGTCTGGTAAACCAATATCTTTAGTATCATCTTTATCTAGCAAGTAGCGAAGTAGTGCATTATTATTCTTCTTAGGACTCACTGGCTCCTGTTTAACAGTCACCTCTGAACCAGGAGCTGTGCTACTGGACTCCTGGTTCAGTTCTTTGCCTGTGGCCTCTGCTGTGAGCTTGGCCAAATCTACAGGAGAACTACTGTCCTGCAATAGTCTGTGCAAAATTTTATGCTTCTCCTTGAGCGAGGTTCCGTGCGCTGAACCAGACCCAGGCAACCCTCCTGTGGAGTCCTTGCTAACATCTCCCATGGTATTGGACAAAGGCGAAGGCTCCATCTGATCCGATTTGGTGGTCAGCAATTGCAAAAGCTTTGTCTGGCTTTTTCCATCGTGCAGTTTAGTCTGTCCATCAGGTCTCTCACCACCAACAACTGGTGGCATGTTGCTATCGCTACTATCTTTCTGTTCTCCTGAATGGCAGCTGCTCTCTCCTTGTCCAGTTGTACCTTCGGATTGCTCCCCATATAGTCCAAAGCAGTCTTTAGAGTCCAGGCTTCCCATCTTGCTTAGCTGGGGAGGATTCATATTCACAGGGGAATTTTGTAAATTTCCCATTTTTAGGTCAGGTGAAGCCAACGATGATCCTAGAGAAACGCCATGGCCCTCGCTGAGGGCCTGAAGTGCGTTCAGGGAACTGTTGGTGTAATTATGGCTATTTCCTGTGCTGCTGCAGACTCCCACGGGCGAATGCAAGCTTCCTGCAGGGGAGAACTGACTGGGTGGGATGCGAGGGCTTCCTGCCACTCCAGGGCTCACACGATGCCTTGGGGAAAGCATAGAGTTTGGCTGCCCTGGGTTCATGCCGGGGCTGCTTTGTGAGGGGCTATTCATTTTTAGTGCATAGTTACTACCCTGAGGAGTGGATGCTTGTATGCTTGACACATGGTTCATTCCCCCTGAACCACCAAACCTGCCTGCTGGCATGCCCATTTGTTCCTTTGGGCCATTTATGGCAAAACTTATATTGCTACTGATGGTCATATCCTGACCTGGGTTCCCGCTGCACATGGCCTGATGGGCAGGGCTGCTGGAGCTAATTGGGTTCAATATCTTCCCCATTCCTTGTCCAGTCAAATCCTGATTCATTCCACAGACATTCTGCTCTCTATGTGGCAAGGGGAAGAAAAACAACCCATTAGCTAAAATGACAGTGGCCAACTTGCAATTACATTACAGAAAAAGAAGCAAAACCCCAAACCTCGTTTTAAAATAACACAACAAACCTAAAATTAAAAACAAATTGGCAATTTGACAAAAGTGATATGCAACTCTCAACATGGCTGCACATTAACAGTATGGTTTTTCAGTACCTCATTAACAAATCAGTGGAAGAGAGGGAAAACAAAATTATACCTCATTTAAATAACACTCATTAGAAATGCAGGTAGGTTACAATTACCCTTTAATGTATATCGCTTCTCTACAATTCAGCAAGAGCTAACTGCTAGAACTGACAGAAATCTCATCTGAAACATATGATCCAAATAAATATATGTTTTACAAGACAGCTGTGGACAGCTATTTGCTGGAGTTTTGAATTTCTATGAGTTAGCCACACCACAAGGCTGGAGTGGGCTGTTTGCCCACCAAGTTCATAGTGAAAAGAAAGTTGAAAAAGTCACATTTCTATATTGCCTGAGTATTTCAATACTGCTCCAAGACAGCATATGAGCCAAGAGAACTACTGGATACTACTTCAGAATGGCAACAGTCTGTTAGCAATCCAGTCCTGCACAGGCACTTAGGAAAAGAGAAAAAACAGAAAAATCACACACATAAGAGTTGAAACTCATATTTTAGAGATGTAGGCTGTAAGACGGAGGAAACAGAAGACACACACACACGGAGAAAAAGCTCTTGTAAGAGCACCTGAGATCACTTCTCTTTTCCTCAGTAGATATTAATTAGTTTATGGGAGGATGTGATACACTTTTTACTTCTGTGCTAAAACTTAAATCAGAAAAATCAGATACATTCCCAAAAGCTAAAAGCTATAAAAGAGACAGAGTCAAGCAGATGAGGCAGAAAAAAACCTGGGGTTCTGGGAAAAATTAAATCAACTCTGGACTTCCAAAAACACATACTAATGGAACATTCCCAATATGATTTTTCGATAAGATGCAAACCATTCCTACTTGCACAGGATAAGTGCAGATAAACCTCTGCATTTTGCTAAAGCAAGAGAAGTGAAAGGACTGAAGCACACAGAGTAGTGCAGCTTGCCATTCTGTGTTTGTTGCCTTAGGTATAAAGCCAAAGATGAACAATGTGAACAATAAAAAGAAAGGTGGATTTTTAAAACCTTATTACAAATGCAATAGTGCCAGTGTTCTGCTAAAAAAAAGCAAGAATATTTGCAAGTACCATTTTTAACTTAATGGTGCTTTTTTAAATTAAAAATTTATCACTTCATGTAATACCAAGTATATTCAGCAATCCAAAGACAGCAACTTTCAGACAGCTTTTGGTTAGGTCAATTTCCAAATCTACAATCTCTGTAAAATGTTTTCAGTTTTAATTACGTTTAGAGCTGTTTTCTCCCTCTCAAAAAAGTGATACTGTGGATAAAGGAAAACAGTATTATAATTATAATGAGCAAATAAAACCTGAAACAAAATCTGACAAATGTACCAGAACATGCAATGACTTAATTCAAATTTTATGATGAAGTTCTGAGGTCGGTGATTACTTATTCCTGCCTTTAAAATATTATTGCCTGTGCCTTTAAAAAAAACAACCAAACAAACAACTAATAGTGGCAGCATTCCTTAGGATGGGACATGTGAAAGCCACTACTCCCAAGCACCAGAAAAGACAAGGAATGAAGAGAGACAAAGAGTTAAAATATGTTTGTCTAAAATGCAGTTTTAGTAATCACAACATATTGTTTAAAGAAGACCTGGGCCCAACATATGACTGACTGTGAACTACAGGAATTTAAATTTCTTCAAAGTTTTCTAGACTTAATTACATTTGGAAAGTTTCTTGCGTCTACTATTGCAAAATACAGAAAATGAAAACAATGACATTAAGAACATGAGATAAAAGGAAATTTTGTGTGTTTAATGGAAGATCTTGATGTGAAAATCCAGCGTACTATTGTAAATCCTGAAATAATCTTACAGTCTTTTCCTGCTGTAAGCACTGATTCTAAAACTTATTTTGTTTTCATGGTATTGGTTCCAGGTCAATTGAATGTCTATCAGCCTTAAACAAACTATTCGCTTTGGCAACTTTGTACTTTCGCTGTCTCTCTGCAGAGTGTGCAAGTAATAAACCCGTCAGTATTACCTGTGAAGCATATGCAAGGAGATTACAAGCTGAGGTTCACTAGTCGTCTGAGAACGGATGAGCTTGCTCTTCGTTTGGGCAGAAACGATAGTGCCATCAGACAAGGAAAACCGATAAACAGGGCTAAACGCTAGTCCCTGCCTCAGCACTGCAAGCAAGCAAAATAACAGAATTAAATTAATGAGAAACTATAGCACAGGTAGCTTAGGTGCTCAAGATCTGATGTTCTAAATCCATCAGCACTAATACCACAGATACTGTGTTAATTTTGAAAAAACAAAGCAAAACAAAAAACAAGAAAAAATTTGAAAATAAACAGATGGAATGCATATAAAATAAAGGATCTCAAATAACGTAGGGTGATCAAAAGAAAAGCTGTAAGGAGTGACAGCCATAACAGGACAGATAGTATGGAAGAGAGAATATTTCAGGAGTTGACCAAGAAGTCCTCGATGTCCATTTCACATTTAATCAAATATGTGTCTAACTCCTCTTGTTCCTCATACATTTTTTCATCTGTATCATCTACATCACAATGATGTAGATGATATATATATAAATACAAATGCCCCTAGTTTTTAGATCGTCTGTCTCCATTAGTCTGTATCTTTTTCTCCTTATTGTCTGCTTAAAGTATCTTGTACCAGTTACTCTCAATACTTCTTTAATTTAAAAAGTACATAAATCTCTTAAATGGGAACAATTCGAACTAAAAAGAACTAGAACAAGAAATTATTATTTTTTAAAGAACAAATACAAAAATATACACCTCAAACAAATTACAATACAATTACCTAAACAAAATTGGGGCTGTGCTATCCTTCCCCAGTGTTAGCTATGAGTGCATTTCAGGTTTGGGGCACATATTCTGCAGCTCTTAAGTTTGCAGTGTAAATCTGAACTTCAACAAATTCAGTTCTTTAACTCCTGTAGACCTCTGTGACATTTCGTTAATTAAAAATGAAAACCATGTTATGGAGAAGCCAATCTTCAAACATTTATTCTACTATTCACTCTTTGCCATCAATGAAACAAGTCTGATAATTTTAAATTCCTAGTCCAAAAGCTATTACACTAGGATTGCAGATATGTCAGGAGGGAAATACTTAAGAATTTTCATGTAATTGTTTAGGGAGAATATGGGAATGAAGCACTACAAATAGTTTTAATTTCCTATTTTTTCATACATATATATTTTCTGTGGGCTTGATTTTTTTAAATTTTTTTTTTTTTTTTTTTTTTTTTTTTTTTTTACAATTAATTGTATCCTCTGATCTTCATTTCATTTCATTGCTTGTCTTTTAATATTTCCTGTTGTAATGAAATGACATGGTTTTCCGAGTGTGGTTTTATTAAATAGTGTCCTCTACAGAGCTACCAGATTTTCAGCTTTGCAGGACTGGTTATGATTGCTTTCCTTCCCCGTCCCCCCCCACTGTTATATATTGTTCTGCAAGGTTTAAAAGTATTATTTAGGCAGTGAGAAAACAGGAAGCATAATTTAAACAACCAGAAGGGGTTTTTCAGAGTAAAAATGTAAAGAAAAACAAAAACCTACAACTGTGAAACAATACAAAGCAAAATTTCACTGTTAGGTATGTCATTGTTTCAGTTTAACCTTTGGGCACCAGAAGGTCCAAAGCTCTTAACTTTAGCATATACCACATCAGGAAATTCCAGTACTCAATGCCAACAGGATACAAGTGAAATCTCTACTTAAATCATTTTCCAAACTAATTCTTTAAGCAAACAAGAATGTTTCCGTATTCCTCTTGAGGAAATGCTATTTTTCTGACTGTGGCCAATAAAAACTTACCATATATTTTGCACTTTATACTGAGAGTTAATTTGAAAGCTTTGTGTTTTTTATTGTTTATCAAGCTAACACTGAATTTTTTTCGCACTGTAACACTAAATTACATGTAGGAGACTGTTACTTTCTTTGTTTCTATTCTCAAATCATAATGACTTTAAAAATGCAAGGAGTTCTTTAGTCAAGTACAAAGATGCTACTGCCCAAGATATGTCTTGTTTTTCTTCTCCATGCTGCAGCCATTATTCCTCTCTAGTGCTGGATCTTTTGCAGCAAAGCTCCTTCTCTTATCACTCACTTTCTTCACTTCCACAGAAATAGAGCCCCTTCATTTAGACTAATTTTACAGTTTATATGATGACCCTAAGCCTCTTCTGTGAAATGATACAGTGTAAACTCCAAAACACGTATATTTTTATCACTTTACAGATAGCTTTGAGAGGACCCTCTCAAACCTCGGCACTGGATGTAGGAGCTGCTAATTTGGTCAGGAATCATTTGAAGAGGACTGAAGTAACAAGTGGCTGGATGCCATTAACAGAAACTCCTAAATCACCTTCAGCACAGACAGGTCCTTACCTGAAACTGCTCCCTAAACCCCTGCTTTAATTTTAATTGCATACTACCTTCTTCAGCTCTGTCTGAGCTCAGCATAAGGCTGTGAACTTTTAACACTCCTACTGTATATACCCCAAAAGCTGTTATATAAAATATCACAGGATTTCTGTGCCTCCATATTCCCACCATGAAACCTGAAGGCTTAACGAAAGCAGAACATATTAAAGAATATTGAACTAATGTTGCAAGATTAAAGGTTGCAGTTTTTTGCCTTTTTTTTGTGTGTGTCTGTGTGTATGTGGTGGAATAATTTTAGATTCCAGTTCCAATTTAGTTTCCAAGACAGCATGTCAGTTGTTTAATGACCATGGCAACTATTTGTCACAGGCCAGCTGTAAACTCTGTTCTACAAACACAAACTCAAAAGAATGATACTCCTGTACTGAAAATGTTCCAGTTATTCCCCATTGGTTTTGACAGGACTTTCCTGTGGACTATAAAGGGTTATTTGTTTTTAGTAATTTGGATCTGTGTTACTAGAATTAGCAGTATTAGGGTTTTATGAAAAGAAAAATCCCCACATAGTCACTACCGCAGAAACCTCATGGGGAACCTTTCACAGTGCAGTACTCTCCTACATCTTACCTACCATCATCCTGACTGAGTAGATGTGCTTGTGGTGTATCCCGTTGACACTTATCAGCTAGATACAGTACAACAATGTAGGTTTCCAGATAGCAAGAGTGCTACGTCTTTGATAATTCACACTGAGTGTTTCTCACCAGAAATGTGATAGTAAAAGTCCATTTTTGCAGAGAAAAGGAATGCAGGTCAATGAACTGCTGAGGTTCTGAAGAATGATGGGTAATGAATGCTTTGGTGGGCAATATGCAAGGGTCGTCTTCTTAAAATAATTGTGACAATCTGAAGATTTAAAGCACCCTCCAGTATGGCATAGTTGTAACAAGCAGGCTAAAACAAACAGGGAGAAAGGTGCAAAACCTCTCTAGAGAGAGCCATCAGTGTGTTAGGCAAATCAGCATGAAAAAGGGACCGTCAGTAGCCCTTGATTGTTCCATGTAAACATAACAAAGAGATCACAACCAACAGATACAAATGACAAACAGTTTAAAAATAGAAAATGCTAAAAATAGGAAACCTAACCTTCCTGGTGATGCCTCTTGGCAAACGATATTTCCCCCTCATGCTGCGAATGGAACCTCTGAATGCATCTTCTCACCAAATCCTCCCAGCCAGGTTTCATAGCTGCTCGCATGGTACTTGTGTCCAGTGAAGTTATTTTGCCTGATATTAGATACATTAGAAAGTATTTGTCATAGCAGTTTCCCCACTGAGGAACACAAAATA